AAAGAATCCCTTTTCAAATACTCTCCAAATCTCAGGTAAGACAATACAGTTTAATCAAACTATTATGTTTTTAGGCTTAACTTTAATCAGTCAAACCGATTTGCTCAGGAATAAATGAAATATTTTAGTGAACCAAAATATTACAACTAGATGTTACCTGACTTAATATCTGTGTTTAACTGTCATTTGGGAAAGCCCAAATGAGTCAGGTGTTCTCCCGTGGTATACTAAACCTGGACCAGCTGGCAGCAGGCGAGGGGAGCTGGGTGTTAATACAACGGGAGCAAAAATCTCCGAAAACGTCGGAGCAATATTGCAATTAGGTGATGCACTGATGAACCGAGCAGAAATGTGAGATTTATACATCTACAAACATTGTTTAAATCATGTTGTGTCACGGCTGCTAAGCAACATAACGCCGTGGTGGAGGCTAGGCAGCTAGCTGAAGGCTGCAGCTTCTCTCTGCAATGCTCTCTGCCTTCGCAGGACCCCTCTTCCGTAGACCGGGTCGTTTCTCAAGCCCATGACAGAATAAGCTTGAAAGGATGAAAGACCCTGAACTCAGACACAAAGCTCTAGTGGTCTGGAACACTTATTTTTAAAAATTATAACGATTCTGTGTTTTGGTTCGACTGGGGTCCATGTTATGTCATTTGTTGTGGTTTGCTGCAGCCTCAGAAATAGCAGCTCGTACCTATTCTAATAAACCAACCCTGTTCCCCTGCGGTGTGTTGGCGTCATTACAATTTTTTTTTCATCTCTTTTTTTTGTTTGCGTCTTTATTTGTTTTTCTCGTGTTTGCTGCGCATTTGAACCTGTCGACCACCGTAGTATTTTAACAATTCTGTATTTTAGTTCTGCTGGTGTCCATATGGTTATGTGTATTTGTTATAAGTTGCATTGTGATCACTGTTATGTGTAGAGTGTTATGGGGTTCCCCTGTCTGACTCTGCTGACTCCCACTCACATGTGATGGACCTGTCATGTGGGCGGGGGATCAGGGGAGCGAGAGGACCAGGACCGATGCTGATCTGACAGAACACCGGAAGAGCGGAGAGTTCAGTGTGTGTTAGCAGTGAAGCTATTCAGTTGAGTGTATCAGTTTGTCAGAGGGGCGAGCTGCAGCCTATGAGAGGCCCCATAGG